TATTCTAGAGTGTGGGGCCGTCTGTCTGACAGCTAAAGCTCAGCAGTAAATCTACAACAAAATCAAGATGTTGCAATGGCCCAGTCAGAGTCCAGAACTGAAGCTTATTGGATTGCTGTTGCAGGAGGCTAATAGCGGTGAATAAACTATTGAACTGAAGCAGTGTTGTTAGGAAGAGTTGGCCAAAATTCCTTCACAATGATGCCAGAGTCATACAGAAAATGATTACTTCAGGTTATTGCTGCCAAAGCTTTTCACGTGACTGCAGTACCCCCCTTAGCTCTCTTCAAATCACTCAAAGTTGACAATCAGGCTGTGTTAATTCTGCTTTATTTGACACTGTCTTATTTATTTTTTGTCTCTTCAGCTACTGGGACATGGCATATGATAGTGATGTAATGGAAAACAGAGTTGGCCTGAATTTGCTTTATGCCCAGGTAAGAGGCTTCATCACTTAGGTAAACCAGACACTGTTTTAAATTAAACTCCCACTGAGATGTGCACCCAAGCAGAAAATTTAAATTAGACTTGATTGTATTTGTTTCCAGATTGCATCTGTTGTATTTTATTGAGCTTGCTTGGTGCCAGCCTCTCACCAAGACAACTGAATCAGCAGCTGCTTCATCTTTTGGTTGCCAAATGCTTTTGTGCATCCCCTGGGAACATCCATTATCGAAATATTGGTGTCAGCTTGTTTTAACATTGCAACACCTTGAATCCTCTCTGCGTCCCTCTTTCAGAAGAGATGTCCTTCCTATTATAGTAACTTCCCTCTGCAGTAATAACAATCGTCTGGCTTTATTAAGCATTTTCGGGGCGGCAAGTTTGATAAGAATCTGTAACCTCTGAGCGTTGCCTCTGCGAAGCAGTATAGTGCCAACGAGCTTGTGCTTTTGTGCATATTTTGTTGAGCTGCACTGGTTAACATGGCGTTTTTAGTGTCGTTTCAACTAGCAAAGGAAACTCATTGACCTGAATTATTGTATTTGTTTGTGTAGAAAAATAAACTTCCTGTTTGTTGCTTCACCAGACAGTATCTGACATTGAGCGAGGCTGGATACTCGTCAACAAAGACCAGCACAGGCAGCTCAAATCGTTGCAGGAGAAAGGCTCTAAGAAAGAAGTAAGCAAGGGTGCCTCTTTTTGACGTTTCTGCCATTTGAATTTTCTTTGCCAGTTGTCACTTAAATCCAGCTGATGCTCAGAAATGCCCTTGTGCTAGGACAAATCTGTAGACCACGGAGAATACTCCTTCCAGTGAATTCCATGTTGTGCAATTAACCTAGTTTGCCCCATAATATGAATTTTTAAACACATCCCAGGAGAGAATTTCAGAATTTTCTGTCAGGGATTAGGTAAGCCTAAAAAAATGACATCTAAAAATTGTTTGGTTGTTTTTTTTTCTTTTTTTCCTCAGTTCATCCATCTTGGCCAAACCCTCAAATATTATGGCTATATTAAGTTTGACCCTTGTGTCACTGACTTCCCCGAGAAGGGCTGCCAAGTCATCGTCAGCGCCGGAAACAATGAGCTCAACTTCCATGTCAAGCTGCCTAATGAACAGATGAAAGAGGGGAGCTTCAAAGTTACTCGCATGAGGTGCTGGCGAATCACATCTTCTGTAAGTGGAAGCGTGAATGCATGAGAGTTTAAGTGTACCTTTATTTTATCAAGATGAAGGCCCTCCTGTTTCTAAAGTGAGCTATTGGCATTGCACCAGAAACAATTAGTTAGTTTTTTAGCATTAACAGCTAGCTAAAAATGCTTACCTCCACACCATCCATCGTCATCAGTCCAGTTACCCAAACACACACCCCACACAAGGATAGTGCTGAATTGATCTTTTGTATCGATTAACACCTAAAACAGTATTTGAACTGCACTTTAATCCTCTGAATTCAAAGTAAAACACCAGATAGTACATGCACGCTTCAGTTTTATCTCAGTAGGGTTTTTTTGCATAATTTCAAGCCAGTTTTTGCTTTTAGTCGTTTTACCCTCATGTCTGAGGGTAAAAAGACTAAAAGCAACCACTTATTGCTGTCTCAGCCTGGTCTTTCTGCTTGTTTTTCATGCCTTTGAATTAATGCTGCCACTTCCTTCAGTAAGTAATAAAGTAATAGCAGTGTGTCATGTCCACTGGCTGCTATGGTATTAAGGTGGAATACTTCAGGTCATGAGCTGTTCCTCCTCCATGCTTCCTCTTTCAGTCAGTGAATGAAACTATTTTTATCATTAGTCTGTAGAACTTTGTTAAAGCATACCACTTGTACAGCCTCTTCTTTGCCTTTTATATTAACAGAAAACTCAAAATCAGTCTAAATGTCAACTCTGCATCATCTGAGCCATCTGTGAGTTCCTTGTAAATGTTGTGATGTTGAAATCATTTACTAGCTAAGTGTTTTTGCTTCTTGGTTACTTGGTCTTTTAAAGTGCTGTATCTCACACACAGTTCTTTGTACTTGGAAATTTAATGCATTTTATCCATTATCTTATTCTGAAGTGTGCTGAAGTGCAGAAAAACCTCAAAAAAAGCTATCAGACAGTACTAACAGCTCCAGTAACACTGAATTAAACACATTGAAAGTGGGGGTTTTTTTGGGCGGTGAGTCTAATGAAAGCGTAATGGTGCTACATCACACACCAAAGATTTACGAGTTAATCCATGAAGGTTCTGTTTCAACTGTGACCTTAAATCAATTGATCAGCATGAGATGGTGCCAGAGTCCCTCGAGCATATGACTGGAATTGATTGATCAGGCAAACATATTGCTGGTCCAATGCCTAGCATTTAATGAGTGTTATCTGTTGCATTGATGGCGGGGGGAAGGAACAAAAACCATCTCTTGTTGTCATTTCCTCAAATGTTACACATGGAAGACTGAGTCACTCTCAACTGGGCGTCTGTCTCGGCAAAAAAACAAAAACATTTTGTTTGTGTGGGCAGCTACAGATTCCAGTTTAGGTATCGATTTTGGAGCAGGAGGTTCTTCTTGGTCAGCACTTTCTCAGTCTGTGACAGTGTACATTCAGTTTTAACTCATTAAAGGACCTTCATTGTAGGACATTGTAGGACCTTCAGCACCACATATTGAAAGATTTAAGTGAGTGCATGTATATTTAAGCCTATATCTAAACTTTTAACCCTCTGTGGATTAGAGAGGTTATTAAAGCTGTATCCTGCATAATCATTCCACCATGGAAAAAGAACAGTTAAAGGAAATCATTAAAAGTACCAATTATCATGATATTCATCCACATGATGGATAGATTTAAACTTCTAAACATGTTAGTTGTAGTTTTGGTAGATATTTGCAGACAGTGGAGGTAAGATAACAAAGACCGGGAATGTTGGAAAGCCTCATGTTTGTGATTGCATCAGCGCTCGGCTATTTTTGTGCACAGATTAAATTAATGGTCTTATACCAACTTTTCTTTGCTGCATCACAAATAGTAAACGATATTAAGTTTCAGCTATACAGATTTTATTCTTTCTGTGCATTTTTCAAAAACATTTGATCCCCTTTTAAAAAGTTACAATTTCAAATGGGCTAAATTTAACTCATTAATTGGATTTTTTTTTTTTACCTTATTTGAAACTTCAGCTCTTAAGCCATCTAGAAAAACGGCTTGTTTTGGGAATGTAAAGCATCTCATTAACCAGTATTGTGCATGAAACAGCTGAAATGTGCATTTTTTGTGTTTGCAACCAATCGTAGCAGAACAGTCTATTTTACTACTGAGAAAAGCATTACTTGAGGCTCTACCGGCACAATTTCTGCTGCCATTTGAAAGATGGAACATTTAAATATGTCATTTGAATGGAGATGGGCAAAAAAGTTCACTTTTGTGCTGCGTTTGTGTTTGAGCATTACAGTCATTATGTGTATCAAAGAAGCTTTTACAATTCTCTAAAAGTTAATGATGTGGACACGTGGCATCACATCTAAAATTGCAATGCATCCTAGCTTGTGTATTACAGACTGAGCCCCCACCCTGCCAGGCAGGGTGATTAATTCCTGAGCTCATTCTCAGAGGTCAGAGTCATTTAATGAGTCCTTTCCTTAGCAGCCAAATATTCTAAACATCTCATTTGTTGTAGCTCTGCAAGACCCCCCATCCGTCGTAGCCAAATTACATTCGGAAGAACCCACAATAAACACTTAGCATGTGCTTGTGCATCTGTGTCAGACCGTTGTTTGTCTTGCATTTCCACTACAGCTACATTCTGACCCAGAGAGGAAATGGTTTGTGAAGCAGTGAAGGGCAGGCACTACTTAAACGAGGAATGAGGGCTTATTTCTAGGGAGCATAACACACCCATCACAAATATTTCTTTCATGTTATCTTTTAGCCTGCCTGTCATTTGTGATGCAGGAGTTCAAGAATATCAGCTAAAGGAGAAGACATGCAGGGTAGAAAATGAGATTTAGCTGCTTACATGGACCTCCAGCTACGGAGCTTATCCGCTTAATATTGAAAGTTTGATGCTGGTAGAAAAAATATTGAAATCGGTTTCTTTGTCATTCTCAAATGTAAACACAGTACAACAAATTGAAAGTGGAAGAAGAAAAAGGGCCACAACAGAATAAGCAAATCAGAAGTGGTCGATGATAAGAGAAGGTGACTTTTTTTTGTCTTTGTTTTTGTCACTGCAGCAAGTTCCAATTGCCAACGGTACAACCAATCCCTGCAGCTCGGGTCAATTTGAAATCAAACTCGAGCTCTCCTTTGAGTACCTGATGAGCAAGGACCGCCTCCAGTGGGTCACCATCACCAG